CGTTTCATATATTTTGGATAAATTACAATTGTGTTTGGTTGCAATTTTTTTGAAAATTTAGGTTATGTTTGGTTGTGCTTTTGAAATGTGATTCTACATACTAGTTTCAGCTCCATGTTTGATAAGAGTTTTGGAATTAATTTTCCAAAACTCTGCCGAAAGCTCTGTCCATTATGCGCGTTTCTTGTATTTTTTTGGCCAGGGGAAGACCGCCCGGTCGTCCCTAGGGACTACTACCCGGACATCCTTGGGGACATCCACCCGGATGTCCTCTGCTATATAGATTTTTTTTTTTTTTTTGCAATTGATTTATATAATTGGGAAAAATATTTTCTGATTTTTTTTTTTAATTTTTAATGTGCTTTAAAATAATTTTGAGTTGTATGTTTAGTTAGGAGTTGTAAATTTTTGTATCACATATCAAATATCACATCAATAATTCCCCACTCAAATCAAACCTCTTTTCCAAAACTATTTTCAAAACTCTTTACCAAACAAATTTTCTACATTCAAATCATAATTCTACAACACACAAACTCAAAATATAACTCATACTCTCAAATCACATTTACAAAACACAACCAAACGCAACCTTAGTTTTTTTTATTTTTTTATTTTTCATATATTTTTTTAAATTTTTTGTGAATATTTTAAAAATTTTAATAAATTTTTTTAGATGCACCTTACTTAGATTTATCTAAAAAGTAAAAAAATTGTGAACAAATTATTTTAAAAAATTAATAAAAATACAAAAATACGAAAAATATATTAAATTTTCATTTTTTTTTTAATTTTTGGTATTTAGTGATTTTCTTAAAAAAAACATTTCACAAAAATTATACTTTTTAAGTGTATTTATGTTAAATGTGTCTAAAAATTAAACAAATTGCTTAAAATATTTAAAAAATTCAGTGAAAATAAAAAAAAGATAGGAAAAATAAAAAAAATAGAATTTTTTGAAAAGTGAATTCTAGAAACCAAAACCAAGCAGAGTGATTGACACCCATATTTAATACTGATCCTCCATTCACATTTGAAAAATTACACTTATCCCCGTGTTCGATTAAAATAACATATTTATCCCTTAGCTTTTATACATATAAAATAATAAAATAACATAGATATTTTGTTTATGTCATTTCAAGAGAAATAACAATCATCTTCTTTAGTTTAACTCACACAAAAAATTGAGTTGTTTTATTTTTCATGTTTTATTTTTTTATTTTTACTAATTTTTTTTAATATTTTAGGCAATTTTTTATTTTTTATTTTTTAGATACATCTAATCTAGATATACTTAACAAGCATAATATTTTGTATTTTTTAAATACAAAAAATATAATAATTAAATACATTATTTTATTTTGTTGTATTCAATAGATTTTTTTTAAAAAAAAATTTGTACAAATTTTATACCTTTTAAATATATCTAGATTAAATTGATCTAATCTAGATATAATGGTGGAAATAAAAATGAAAAATTATATTCATATATAAAAATTTGGGTAAATTACATTAACGGTCCCTATAGTTTGGGGCTTGTGTCATTTTGGTCCCTGATTTTTCAATTATGACACATTTAACCCTGAATTTTGAATTTTGTTCCAAATAAGGACAATTGAAGATACTATTGGATTTTTCAAGGGCAAAATCGTTAATTTGATAAAATATAAATTAATTTGACAAAATTAAATGTTAAAAAATTATTTTTGAATTTTTAAAAAATTATTTCTACCTATTAAAGATAAAATTATATAAAATTGATAAATTTTTTAGACATTTATTTCTTTTTTTTTTACCAAATTAATTTTTATTATGTATTTGGATGATAATCATGTAAAATTAATTTTTAAAAATTAATCATGTAATTTTTATTAATTTTTATCAATTTCACATAATTTTATTTTTGGTGGGTAGAAATAATTTTTAAAAATTTTAAAATATTTTTTTGACATTTATTTTTGTCAAGTTAGTTTATATTTTATCAAATTGACGATTTTGCCCTTGAAATTAAGCAATGGTATGTTAATTGTCTTTATTTGGAACAAAATTCAAAATTCAGAGTCAAATGTGTCACAATTGAAAAGTCAGGGACTAAAGTGACACAAGTCCCAAACTATAGGGACTATTAGTGTAATTTATCTTAAAAATTTATACAAATAAATCGTAAAAATGTTATGATAGTGGGATTGTTGTAAATATAAACCATGTTTATGCATGTTTTTTTTAAAGTGAAATGTCACCATTAAATTATATCATTGTGTTTAAAAAATTTATATAAAATTTATATTTGTATATCATCACTCAATAAAAATATATTCAGATAAAATTTAGTGATGAAAAAGGACAATATGGTCATTTAGAAAATTTTAAGACATGACATCAGCAATTCAATGACAATTTGTAACGAGATTACAAACCTTAGGGAGAAAAATGTAATTTTTCAAACGTGAGGGGGGTTCTTTATTAAATAAATACCTTAGAGGGTGTCAATGTAATTTACCCTATATATATATATATATATGTTTTTTTTGAGGAATTACATGCAGGTGAGAGTTGAAAAAAAAAAAAAAGTTACCAACACATGGAGGGGTGCAAGTAACACTTGCAACCCTACAGCTTTTCATTTGCAGCCCACCACAAACACACTTGCATCCCATATGTTTATAATTTTTTTTTTCTCAATTCTCACCTTCGCGTAGTTTCCCCTTTCTTCTTTATTTGACATTCCCTCTCCCTATATTTTGTACTTTTATTTTATTTTAATAAAAATTTGTAATTGTTAATATATAAATTTGATTTTTATAAAACTAATATCATTTAAAAAGGTAGGATGATGTTTTAAAATAAAGTTAATATTAAGTATATAAAATTAAAAAGTTTTATAAAACAATTTAAAATTAAAAAAACTATATTATTTTGAAAAATTATGGCCATGTTTGGTTTTATTCTTTCAAATTTATTTCATAATTTTTTTTTTTAAAAAAATAGAAATTAGTTTGATAAAAATAAATATCAAAACAATATTTTTACTCTTCAAAAAATAAAATAATATAAAAATGATAGGTACTTTCAAATTGAGAAAAAATGTATCTTTCATCAAATCACTATTCAAAGCCTTTTGATTTTCACCACTAGATGTCCTAAATGACCATCTTAAGGCAAAAATTTGTAAAAAAATTACACTAGCCGATCGTCCGCTTGGTCGATCCTCCGAATGACCACATCAAGACAAAAATTTATGAAAAATTTATATTGGCCGGTCGATCGGCCAGACATCCGCCCAGTCGTCCACCAGGTCGATCGGTGTTCTGATAAAGTTTCAAAAACTCCCATTGTAACACTTGATATCAAATGAAACTTTTATTCAAATTTGATGAAAAATTTGATACACCATTGGAGATACTCTTATATATCCTATCTTATCTTGAGAAATGGTGATCCATTTAATCTTAAGAATTTTTTTATAGACCAATTAGTCCTATTGATTTTGGAAACGTATATTTAATATATTATTTAGAAATTGAATTTACGGTTATGCCCTTATTTTTATTATGTTTCTTTTCTTTTTTTTTTTTCTTTTGTGTTAGAAAGGTAAGATACACAATCTATGAGAATCAAATTTGAGTTGAATTATTATATGAGAATATTTTTTATTTAGAAAACATTTACAAATGAGTACAAAAATTACTTGAAATGTGGGATTTTTCAAATTTGAAAGGAGTACAAAAACTCCATAATAAGTTTTGGATAAATGTATAATTTCAAATTGTAACACTCCAATATAACGCTTTGATGTAACACTCAAAAAAAAACAAAAAAAAAAAAAAATTAGTGTACTTTTGCCAAACATAACACTCGATTGTAACACTCCGAAAAAATGATGTAGAATTTTTCAAACCATTCCAAAAGGATGTAGGATTTTTCAAACCATTTTAAAAGGAATACAAAAATTTCTTAATAGTTTTTGAGTAAATATATAATTTCAAACGGTGAGTGTTACGTTTGGAAAAAATATACTAAGGAGTTTTACGTTTGACATTACAAACGGTGAGTGTTTTTGTATGGATTACATCAAGGTGTGTTACATTAGAGTGTTACGTTTGGAATTACATTGATTGGAGTGTTACGTTTGGAAAAAAAAAAACTAATTTTTTTTTGTGTGTTACATTAGAATGTTACGTTTGGAAAAAGTACACTAAGAAATTTTTTTTGAGTATTACGTTGTTGCGTTTGAAAAAAATACATTACGAATTTTTTTTGGAGTGTTATATTGTTAGTTTGAGAAAAGTATGTAGTTTTTTAGTGTATTACATTGGAATGTTACATTCGAGTGTTACGTTTTTATTCGTAATGTGGAATTGTTCCAGAATGAGGGAAAATCTAAAACCTCTATAGTGTGGATTGTCCAAATGTGTAATTTCACATTTAGAGAATCCAACTTTTATCTCTCAAAAATTAAATCTAAACGTGTAAGTGATTACCTTTTTATGTAATTCCACTTTAATGGGACATTTGGGTTCATAAGAAGAAATAAAAAGAATTAAACAGTTCACAATATCACATTTTGAGATTTATTAGTGATTCACCCAAATATAAATTACCTCTGTAGCCTAAAAATTATAAATATCCTATTATCAAAAAAATTTATTTAATAGAATTAACACAAAAAAAATACTAATGACTCTCCTATTATGCAATAATAAAATTATCAAATTTTTAATTAAAATATATTTTTGATATCATTACAAATTATTAATTGACTTGATGATTTATTAAAACTTAAGAGAGATCATTTGTTATGCAATTATAAATTTGAAAGGGCAGAATTTAATTTTCAAAATCACAAAAGATAATTTATTTTTAAAGCAAATCTCAAAAGCATATTTGTAATTTATCCTAAAAGTAAATTCTTTTTGCTTTTTGAATATATATTTTTTATTTGTCGAGTAGAACAGAAAAAATAAAATAAAATTACACAAACAAAAATTACACTCCCACAGCACTAAATTGCATTAATAATGGGATGAAATGCACATTTTCATGTAAACAGTCAACGTGATCTCATAGTTTCCACAATTTATCATACAACAAATTGCAAAAGCAAAAGTAAGCCAATGAAATTTAGACGCCAGATCCTAAACATTTTGCAAATGGGAGTTCCTACTCTGTCCAACACAGCAATCCAATCAAATGCTAGCCCTTACAACTTCACTATTAATGAGTATAACCATAAAGTAAAACTATACAAGGAGACAGCATAAACAGACCAGTTGGTCCACGTGAGGACTGCTGCTGTTGTAGGGAATTAAATAGCAATGCAGAATGCTGTGGCAGCAAAGAAGATAGTAAGTCACTGTAAGGCTTGGGCTGTGATGTGACACTCAGTACAAAGAGGGAAGCAAAGGCTAGTGAGATTGCAAAAAAAAAAAAAAAAAATGGAGGAAAATTGGATGACTATTTTGACAGATGAGGTTAAGCAAAATGTGATTATTAGCTTAGGCCAATTGAGATGATGTTGAGCAACAACCAAAGAAATTGGTTGGCACTGCTGCTCCATCATTGCAGTCTTAGGGTTTCCGCAGCAGAAGGTGTAGTGGGAAAGCTATCAAAGAATGTTTGAGACACAGCAGCCAAAGATAAAAAAGAACAGAGCAGAAAAATTACCTGGTGCTTCCAGGACTCCTAAATAGTGCTGTGGATCTGGAGTTGCTTATGGATAGCTCACCAGTATGTAAAGGTCACTTGTGCTACTGGGGAGTACTCCACATTATTCTTGAGTGACTACTTCAGAGAAACTTCAACGTCCGGCACGTTAGAGACAAAACAGAATGTAACGAAACAGGACAGCTAATTAGCATAAAGTAAGAAGGAAAAGAATTGAGCAAAAAAACGAAGCAAGAACAAATGAAATCGTAAAAAACAATAAATCATGCAGTTACAGACCAACAATGAAAAGAACAAGAAACAGAAGTTATTTGTTTAGGTCCTTAAACCATTTTGAGTGAACTTATTCTTCTGTGGCTAGTAAGTAGATAAACCGGGAGTAAATTTTGTATGGTTAATCCCTAAAATTCTATTTTTGCAAATCCCATTCAGAAGGCAGTGCATGACCTTTTTTTTTTTTTTGGCAATTAAACATTCACACACAACTCTCCAAAAATGAAATTACAAAGTTATTCTTAAAATGAAAGTTATTTTTTAATCTAAATTTGGAAATTTCTAAAATGACTAAAATTTGCACATGAAACACTTGCATTTGTTCTCCTTTTGGCTAAATAATTATATTAGTCAAATCAAAAGTTTGATTTACCTTTTATAACTTCTTTGCAGAACAAAATGACAACGAAAGCTCAGTGGTGATCCGTAGTTTTATTCATTTTAAAATATTCATTCAACTTTCAAGAATGATATTAATCTGTTGTTCCTCTTGACCATTTTAAACTGTAACTATTCCTTCTCATCCAAATTAAGTATATACATAGATTTGATATTATATAGAGTTGTTGGTTCATACAGTTTGGCAAATTGTCTTTTATTATGCCACTAATTAGCTGCACTTACAAGGCTCTTGTCAAAAACACCCTGGTGAGTAGATAAATAAACCAAGCATCAAGTAGATAAACACACCAATAAGCAAGCTCACAGCTGAATTTCATTAGAACATCCATAATCAACATCTTGGTTCATCAAACCTTGTTCCCTCTAAAAAGACGATTTATGCATATGCTGTTTCAGTGCCACCTTGGCAGCTCTATATTGTTTGGGAACCACATATCTGCCACAAAAAAGAAATTTTTAATTAGCAAAGTTAAAATCCCTCATCTTGTTGGACAATAAAGGTTTGTAGGAAAGACCAAAGACGATGTGAAACAAAAGTAAGAGGATGTCAACTTTGGGTACAAATCAATTGAGAGAGTTGTTTGGGCCAGAAAATCCCTACTCATAAGTCAGAGATAAAAATCCCTTGCACAGTAATATGATTAAACAAGCACATTTCAAATTGCCAAATTGTCATGCAAATGAAATGTACCCTTGTTCACTCCTAACTGTTGATGTTAATATAAAAAATACCCAAGCAACATATTAGCGGCTGAAGAGGAAGACTGGATCTTCACTAGCAAACAATTTCCTTTTGTCATCAATATGCCTTAATTAGCTGACGAACTTATGTTAGAAAGGCCAACAAACCTCACATTGCCTACAACAGAGAATATTATTGTCATGTAAGATTGATGATCCACCATTTAACCAATAGAAAAATGCATTGCCACGGTTTGACCATCCTCAAGCTGATTCGAAATAAAAATTAGCATCTACTAGCTTCAGCTGGTTAGAACTCTAGCTACGTTGAGAGTAACACATTGTCCAGTAATCTTAATTGTTCATATCAGCAATGAAACTGACATAGAACCCAACAGAGTCATACTAAAAACAAGGCTTTTTAATAAGTTAAATAGCACACAAAGCAGTAAAGTCAATGGTAATAAGCCTCTAAACAAGCAAACTGAAGTCCCTAGCTATTGGCATATCAGCATATAGTAACTGAATCTGAACTGGAATATTTTGTTCATCATATTAGTACAAGTTGAAGGATCTACCATTTTTTTTGTTGTTGATAAGTTCAAGGATCTGCCATTGACAGTGTTTCACTTACAACATCCTGCAACTGGAAATTTGAATTCATGTATATAATAAGTGGATAATGTATAGATAAAATCACTCACATGCTAGAGATGATTAGGATGCGAGAACTGTCTGAGTAGATATCACAGCTTCATCGCCTCCAACATGCAAGTATTCTATGGAGAAAGTCAAATTATGTGGGTTTATTGAAATATGAAGTCATTTATATTGAGCAAATGTTAAAGGATGTAAAATGTCACAGAAGAATTAATAGGAGTCATTGAGAATGATCAATACCTTTTAAGTAGCTTGGTACTTCATATTATTTGCTTATGCCAGTCAATCAAGTATAATTATCCAGTGAAGTTTGGTTGTCCTATTCCAGCAATAGCACCGAAGATCATCCCAACTGGCCAAGCGATCATCACTTATCAGGCTTTTGAAGTTACTCTAGACATTATCAATGAGAGATGTAACTACAATGTCATGCAAAAATCCAGATTAGAAGCAATGATGGTACTCAAGAACGTTTCATACAGCTTAAAGCACATTTTGCAGAGAAGATAATAAATAAACCAGACGATGTGGAGGCAAGTTTGATGCAAGGTAGAATTTCTCGCATATCACATGCTCTTGAAAAAACTCACTGATATTTTGTCTCATGGCAAGTTAGTTAAGTGCTCAAATTAATTGAAATTCACAGCATTGCCATTTCGAAAGCTGTTCATGTGGGCTATTCTAGAGAATTAACATATTGAGCCTCTTTAACAATTAGTTATGATGAATGCTTTACTCAATGAAGACTTAGAGGAAATTTTTTTTGACGGATGTTCCACTTGGCTTTGAGGATTTCTCAGTTGATGGGATTGTGCAAGCTCAAAAAGGTATTATATGAGTCACAAAGTCTGCTAGAGCATGATTTGAGAGGTTTACTTGGGCTATGCTTAGATGTGGCTACAAGTAGAGTCAAGATGGCCATACCCAATTTATCTAACATTCACATGAAAACAAGGTTACAGCACTCCTTGTGTATGTTGATGATATTTGATCCATAAGAAATGCAGAAGTTGAATAGCAATCTTACTAAGGAGTTTGAAACAAAAGACTTTGGTAACTTAAAGTATTTCTTGAGTATTGAAGTTGCAACATCCCAAACAGAGTGTTTATCTCACTAACAAAGTATGCTTTGGACCTTCTCAAGGACAAAATGTGCTTGGGTATAAAACTATTGATACCATGTTGGAGCGAAATTGCACATTAGGGGATGAAACTAAAGATTCATTTGACAGGGATAAATATCAGAGGCTGGTTGGTAAGTTAATTTATCCATCTCATACTTGCCTAGATATAGGTTATGTTGTTAGTTAGCCTTGTGAGCCACTATGCATAATCCTATTGAATTGCATATCAGTTTATGGTCTACTCCGGTACTTCAAAAGAAAGAGTTCAATTTTTTACAATATTTGTATAACTTTAACGGTGAATATCAGCATGCAGCCATGCAAACTGAGATTCAATTAGGATGGGTTACCAAATGAGAAATGAGATGTAATCAATCTTGTAATACATCAATCAATATATCAATCAATAATAATACATACAATTTATTCTCTCTCTTTCTCTATACATTATTTCTTACACATGATTTGAGATATTTACTTGGGCTATGCTTAGATGTGGCTACAAACAGAGTCAAGATGACCATACTCAATTTATCGAACATTCACATGAAAACAAGGTTACAGCACTCCTTGTGTATGTTGATGATATTTGATCTATAAGAAATGCAGAAGTTGAATAGCAATCTTCCTAAGGAGTTTGAAACAAAAGACTTTGATAACTTAGTACTTCTTGAGTATTGAAGTTGCAACATCCCAAACAGAGTGTTTATCTCACTAAGAAAGTATGCCTTGGACCTTCTTAAGGACAAAGTGTGTTTGGGTATAAAACTATTGATACCATGTCGGAGCAAAATTGCACGTTAGGGGATGAAACTAAAGATTCATTTGACAGGGAGAAATATCAGAGGCTGGTTGGTAAGTTAATTTATCCGTCTCATACTAGCCTAGATGTAGGTTATGTTGTTAGTTAGCCTTGTGAGCCACTATGCATGATCCTATTGAATTGCATATCAGTTTATGGTCTACTCCGGTACTTCAAAAGAAAGAGTTCAATTTTTTACAATATTTGTATAACTTTAACGGTGAATATCAGCATGCAGCCATGCAAACTGAGATTCAATTAGGATGGGTTACCAAATGAGAAATGAGATGTTATTCAAATGAAAAAACACTATGAGATGCATCCAAATTTATTATAATTCAGTTAGAAATAGATGATGTTGCACAATGGAAGAAATGCTCTACAAATCTACAAGAATACTAAATGCGACTAACACATTGTAAATCAATATAATCGAAAAGCATTGTTATGCAAATTTGAAGCATATATTTGAAACAATTAACTAGTGAATACAAGTTCAAGAAGAATACATACAAATACAAAACAGAGAACATAAAGTTCAAGAACAGGACATGTATTGTGCACCTGTTATTCCATTCCATGCTTCTTTGCTTATTTCCAATCCCTTCAAAGAGCGAAATGTAATCAATTTCAGTACCATATTATAGCAGTTCCACATAGTTGACATTAATGATTAGATGAAATCAACAACTAGTATTTTAGTTCAAAAAATAAGGAATATTACACCATTCAATATATATATTTGTATGTGAAAACATATCATAGTCATATCCATAAACAGGTCAAGAAACCATCAACAAGCAATTCTCACTTAGGAAAGGGAAAAGAAACCCTGCAACAAATTGATAATGCTAGTGCATTTTATTGAACTTGTAATTTTCTACCAGTCATGACATTTAGACAGTGAAAAGTTAAACCACTATAACAACAATACAAGGATCCATCATCAAACAATTTGTCAACAGACATTCAACAACATTTCATGTTTGAACATAAGCAACATTTTTAAAATGTTGGCGCACAAATAAAGGCATGATTGGAGTATTTTACATTGTTAGTTATGTGTTGCACTCTTAGCCTTGCATGCTCACTTAAATGAGTGTGCGGCGTTGTCACGGAGCTTGAGACGTGACATATTTTTTAATAAGAAATTTAAGGTTCTATTGTTTTAGAAGAAGTCTTAGCAGAAACTTCATTGTTTTGGGGGGGGCTTTTTGTTAATACTTACAAATTGTGATTCCAGTATCATGTTCATGTAAAATACCAAATATATAGTCAAAGATTACATAGGAATCAATAACAGATTCTTCACATCATTTTGAAAAGTGGTGGCAACACGTGCCACTTGTTCCTTGAATTTTTCCTCTTTTATTCTGGGTTTTTTTTTTCTTCTTGTTATGATAGAATTCATTTATTGAATATGTCCCATCGATAAAACAAGCCAAATCAAAGCTAAGCCTTATATTCCATCAATTGTGATCGGCTACATGAATAATTTTTCACCATTATGCTCTATCAATGATTATATGCTTAGTTAAATAAGTAAATTCATGTGAATCACATAATATGTCAATATGTCAGTCACACTGTTCCACTTGAACCAATATACTTCGATTCTATGGATCACAACACCACCAACCTCATCATCCTCATTAATAATCTAACCTAAGTAACGAAAATGTTCACTATTTGTTTCCCATCACTAAATTGCATTAATAACATCATTTTTGGGATCAAATAATGCACATTTCTTGTGAACAGTCAATGCAATCTCTTAGTTTCCACAAATTATCATACAATGAGTTGAAAAGGAAAAGTGAACAATTGAATTTCAGGTCCCAAATCCTATCCATGCAAGTACTACTAGTCCCTTATTAATAGTGGCCACACACACACATACATCTATATATATATATATGGTATCTAAAGGAGCTAATAATAATTAATTTCCATAAAAAGCAACCTGACAGACAGTGACAATCGTCTGCTAGGATTCAGCAATTGCAAACGAAAATTGCTAGCAATGAAAGAGCATATACGATCCAGGAAATGAGCTTGAGGCAGAGCGGGAAAGAGACTGTGATAGCAACAAAGAAAGCGGTAACTCCACAGACCACTCCAGCGTGGTCAAGCAGGCGGCCTAGGTTCGGGTGCTTGGAAGAAACGTATTTGGCAACAAAGATAAAAGCAAACGCAAACACCATTACCAGACACACCAAGTGGAATGTTATAGAGTAGTATTGTGTAGGAGTTTGGTTCGATCGGATGGCGATTTCAAAAGCTGCTGTCAAGCAGAACTCTAAGACTAGCATCGGCAATTCAGGCGGCGGCGGCGGAGCCATAACAGGAGGAGGGAGTTCAACAACTGATTCTAATGGTCTCATTTCCAACAAACTCACAATTTGCAAACGGAAGCGCTTTACCTTTATATAGTAGTCTGTTGGGAGGAAGATACACACCGAAAGAGAAATGATAGAGAGCCTTTTTCTTCCTTTACCCCCCACAACCCCACAAACACATATCTGATAGGAGGAAAAAAAAGGATGAAGGGGACGGGAAAAACAAAAAACAAAAAAAAAAAACAAAATGAAGGGGACGGAAATAAAATAAAATAAAATAACAGGCAAAGCAAAAAATTAGTCAATTTGAATATATTGGGGATGAAGGGGACGGAAATAAAATAAAATAAAATAACAAGCAAAGCAAAGCAAAAAATTAGTAAATTTGAATATATTGGGGATGAAGGGGACGGAAATAAAATAAAATAAAATAACAAGCAAAGCAAAAAATTAGTCAATTTAAATATATTGGGGATGAAGGGGACGGAAATAAAATAAAATAAAATAACAAGCAAAGCAAAAAATTAGTAAATTTGAATATATTGGGGATGAAGGGGACGGAAATAAAATGAAATAAAATAAAATAAAATAACAAGCAAAGCAAAAAATTAGTCAATTTAAATATATTGGGGATGATGGACGTCAAACATAACAGGGATCTCAATCTTTTTTCTACAACGAAATTGCATATTGGTGTCGCTCCACGGTCTACGCCCTTTCACCAACATTATGACAAGTGTCCAATTTTATTTGTCATAGATTGGTTAACAGTCCCGGTACAGAACCCGAAAATCGGGGCTCAAATTTGAGAAGGAAGAAGGAAGAAGAAGAAGAAGGAGAAGTAGAACTGGAGGGGGCCATAAAAATGGGGCTGGAGGCGGAGGCGGGGCTGCGATGCGACGAGCGACGTTCGGCCGACGAGCTGCAACGACGACGACGAGGATGAGCTGTGACGACGACAACGACTCTCTCTCACCTCTCGCCTCTATTTCTCTCTTGCCTATGTTCAAACGAAGAAGAAAAAGAAGAAGAAGAAGAAGAAAAGAAAGAAAAATAAGAAAAATGGGGGGAAAAAAAAATCGAAACGCAAAACGACGTCGTTTTTGCGTTTCGAGCCAAATTCGAACCCTTGATTTCGGGCTCTCAGACATTTTTCGATTGGTTAACCTCAATATTACATCTGTTAATTTATTTTCTCTTTTTTGTTTTTAACATTATTTAAGTCTAAAAATTAAACTCACTTCTTAAATCTGTGAGATCAAGCCCTACTCTTTTTGTTAAAATTAATTGATGATCGAAAGAGTTTCACTTAGAAAAAAATGCTTTAAATAATATTAGAGATTCTAAAATTTTTATTAAATATCTCACATAGGTGTGAGACTCACATGTGATCTATATTGTGTGGGTCTTAAGGAGACATTTAGTAGAACTTTTGATAAAATTTTTGATATCTCTATTATTTTTGAAATGCTTTGGAACTTTAATTCTTGAACTCTAAAGCCAGCTTTAATGAGTTGACAGTAGATTCTACCCACTATGATTTGTTGATCTTAGTTTGTTTGTTTGTTGTTTTTTTTTTTTTTCTCCTTGTTATGTCATTAGTACTCTATTAGAATACTAAAATTAATTTTCTAAATCATTACTGATTTCACTTATATCTTTTACAACACTGATTCAATATTCTAATTTTGAAACACTAATACCAATTCTAATGAGATCACAACCTTTTTTCTACAACGAAATTGCATACCGGTGTCGCTCCACGGTCTACGCCTATTCACCAACATTATGACAAGTGTCCAATTTTATTTGTCATAGATTAACCTGAATATTACATCTGTTAATTTATCTTCCCCTTTTTGTTTTTAACATTATTTAAGTCTAAAAATTAAACTCACTTCTTAAATATGTGAGATCAAGTCCTACTCTTTTTGTTAAAATTACTTGATGATCGAAAGAGTTTCACTTAGAAAAAAATGCTTTAAATAATATTAGATATTCTAAAATTTTTATTAAATATCTCACATAGGTGTGAGACTAACATGTGATCTATATTGTGTGGGTCTTAAGGAGACATTTAGTAGAACTTTTGATAAAATTTTTGATATCTCTATATTTTTGAAATGCTTTAGAACTTTAATTCTCGAACTCTAAAGCTAGCTCTAATGAGTTGACAGTAGATTCTACCCACTATGATTTGTTGATCTTAGTTTGTTTGTTTGTTTGTTTGTTTATTTTTTTTTCTTTTCCCCTTATTATGTCATTAGTACTCTATTAGAATACTAAAATTAATCTTCTAAATCATTACTGATTTCACTTATATCTTTTACAACACTAATTCAATATCCTAATTTTGAAATACTAATACCAATTTTAATGAGCGTATAAAAGTCAAACTATCAGGATGGTACTCACAACAAAAGAAAAAAAATAATAAACAAAAACAAAAGTCATACCATCAAGACCTTATTAGCTACTTAAAGTGGTCCAAACATTATTCTAGCTTTTAGAGAATCCTCGTCAAGCTCTTTAAAGTTACTTTTTAGCTAAAAATTTTAAAAAATCAACTGTACCAAACTCGTTTTTAGCTTATCAAAATTTACAATTGTTACAGTAACTTGTTTGTTGTAACGAGACACGGTTCATCACTATTTATATGTTACTAGATGTGTACCTGTAAGTGCGGCCGATCAACCGGTCAATAACAAATTTTTTTTTCTTTCTTTTTTTAAGAATTGCTTGATTAGTAACTTATCAATTTAATTAAAAAAGAAAGACTAACAAATATAATGTTAGTGTAATATTAGTGTGCAATATCTAGTGTAATATTAGTGTGCAATATCTAGCTGTCCAACTGTCCCACTAATGATAATGTTTCTGCTTTCGGTGTGTGTTAATTAGTATCCTATGTGTATCACCTTTCCTCTCTATAAATGAGAGTGTTGTAAATCATATCAATATATAATATTCATCAATACAATTTATTCTCTCCTTCTCTCTCTATCAATTTATCTTACAATCCTTATGATTGCTATCCCTTCTCATTGGATAACCTACAAACTCTCTCCTTGGTAGATCCACAGTCTTGTGGTGATTTCTTGGGTGGGACTCGTAATCTCAAAAGGCTAGGATTTCAGGGACATGTAGAATGTGGAGGATGTTTGACATTTCCTCGTTTAGACTCTCTGAACAATCTCCAAGAGTTAAGATTGTTTAATACTATATGGTATTTAGATACTGGAATAAGGTCAAACAACCTTGGAGGAATTAAGTTCCCATCAAATCTTAAAAAGCTGACTTTGAAGAAAACCTATCTAGGTTGGGATGAGATGTCAACCCTCAGCAAGTTATTACCCAACCTAGAATGTCTAAAGTTATTAGAAAAGGCTTGCAATGGACAGAGTTGGGAAACGAGTAGGGATTTCTCTGGACTGAAGTTCTTGAAGCTTGCATCTCTTAACATTGTGTGGTGGAATGCTTGTAGTAATCACTTTCCTAGTCTTCAGCAGTTAGTGATAAGTAAGTGTCATTGCCTTGCAAAAATCCCATCTGAAATAGGGTATATACCCACACTACAAATGATTTAGGTCGATTTGTGAAACTCTTCCCTTGCCAATTCTGCTAGAGAAATTAAAGAAGAACAAGAAAGCTTGGGAAACAATTGGTTGCAGATTATTCAGTCCTACAACCAGTTTTAAACTAAGTGCTTAACTTGATCAAATCATACTTCTTGTTTACATGTATTAGTTTTTTGTTTGTCCATTTCATTTTATGTTTATTATAGTTGTTATTGTTTTTTTCCCCCCTCCGTAAGCACTTGATCTAGCAAAAATAACATTGTTTCAATAATTCAAATTATTAAAAGCATCCAAGTGACGACCCCAAACATGCATATTATTTTGGGGTTATAGCTATTCTGGTTTTGACCCGACCCTTGTTGTATTCCGGGTCGAGTTTCATGATTCTGTATTGTTGTTCTTGTCTCTTTTTCCTTATTCCTCATTGAAATTGAGTTTTGGAGTGTCTTGGTTGTGTTTGGAACATGTTAGTTGCTAGTTGGTTTAAATTGTTGTTGTCCAAATTTTGCCCTCTTCGTTCGAGCGAGGCTTCTTCATCGGTCCGGCATGACCCCGTAAACTGTCCCGACATTGATTCCGGTCAGCTTCTACAACCGCCCGGCATGACCCCGTAAACTGTCCCGACATTGATTCCGGTCAGCTTCTACAACCGCCCGGCATGACCCCGTAAACTGTCCCGACATTGATTCCGGTCAGCTTCTACAACGGTCCAGCATGACCCCGTAAACTGTCCCGACATTGATTCCGGTCAGCTTCTACAACCGCCCGGCATGACCCCGTAAACTGTCCCGACATTGATTCCGGTTAGCTCCTACAACGGTCTGACACGACCATACAGTGTCTTCACCAACGGTTCGACACAATCATACAGTGTCTCCTATCCTATTTTATTTTCCTGTTTTGTTACTCTCTCCAAACTCAAGTTGGTTGGTACTTATCCTCCTTGAGTTTAAAGGGGGCTGTTAGTGTAATATTAGTGTGCAATATCTAGTGTAATATTAGTGTGCAATATCTAGCTGTCCAACTGTCCCACTAATGATAATGTTTGTGCTTTCAGTGTGTGTTAATTAGTATCCTATGTGTATCACATTTCCTCTCTATAAATGAGAGTGTTGTAAATCATATCAATATATAATATTCATCAATACAATTTATTCTCTCCTTCTCTCTCTATCAATTTATCTTACATATAATAAGAAAATAATATTTAATAAGAATAAATTAAAATAAAAAGTTTGATTTAGTAGGTGTTAAAAGAATGAATAATTAAAACAATAAAATAATTTTAATTTAATTAAAAAATTAAAGAGTTTGGTATGAATCCTGTTATTTCATTCGAAAAAGAAACTGCTCGACTCTGGCATTACTCCACCTATCTTATCCCACCCCCTATTCAGTCGACACGTCAGCGAGTGTTTTACATGCTCTTAAGAAATGAATAAAATAGGGGTGTTTTAAAAAGTTAGTAAAAATGTGACTTTTAACATTTTATTAAGTTTTTTGATTTTTTTAGAAGTGATTTAGGAAGTTAGTAAAAAGTTGACTTTTTTGATTTTTGATTTAATATTTTTTAAAAGTGTCACATCAGTTTAAAATAATCAAAATATCTTTATTTTTAATTAAAAACACTTTTTTTAATTAATTAATTATAATATCCCAAAGGGTAATTTGGTAAATTTTTAAGTTGCTTTTTTTTCTCTTCCCAAATGGGAATATCAGCGTTTTGGAAGGGTTGGCGTTTTGGGAAGGCGCTGAAAACGCTGGCTTTTTGTTCACTTGTCAAAACGGCACATAGACTTATTTTGGAAAGATGGTAAAAACTAATTTTTTGATTTTTGATTAAATTTTTAGCATTTTTAGATAAATGGTTTGAAAAATTGATAAAAAGTTACTTTTAAATTTTTTAATTAATATTTATTTTTAATGTCAAATCACAATAAAATGACCTAACTATTCTCATTTATTTAAATATTTACAACTTTATTTATGTAATATATTTTGACCCATAAAGTATAAAATTATAATTTTATCATTGACTAAAAACTAACTTTCTAAATAAAAATAATAATAAAAAAATTAATTTTTAACTTTTGTTATAAATCTAAAAAAGTGACTAAAAATCATGTTGCTAAAACACCCCATAATAAGTCCTACTAGCAGTGGTAGAGACCCATCAAAATGGTATGAGATATATCCCCACCCCCGGAGTTTTACAAGCGCGTGCCCACACGTCGCTTGTTCAATCGACACTTGTATACAAATGAGCGAGTGTTTTACACGTTTTTAAAATGGTATGAGATATATGGCTCTGGAATTTGCATCCGAATAAATTTAACTTGTTTCATTTGTATCTCAACATATAATTTTTTTTTTTTAAATTAAAAATTTTATTTAGTTTAAATTTTTTGAAAATTATCATTTTTAAAAAAAAAAAATTAAAAATTTTATTTAGTTTAAATTTTTTGAAAAAAAAAAATTAAAATCATTTTTTTCTTTTACATATCAATCAATTATTTTTTTCTTTCTTCTTTCGTTCTCAATTATTTTTTCTTTCACACACATCTATTCAATTATAACAAAATATCAAATTATCTCAAACTCTCAAATTTTAAAATTACTTTCAAAATATACAACCAAACAAACATGTTTGGAGCAACTTTAAAAACATGATTCAAGAGTTGTTTTCAATGCTTTGTTTGGTTAAAATTTTTAAAAATTAATTCCAATAGAACATTTCAAAACTCATTTCGGCTTCTGTTTGGAGAATTGAGTATTTTTTTTTTTAATTTTTAATTTTGAAAAGCACGCCTTGGTCTACCCGGATGTCCGGCTGGTAGATCAGAACATTTTTTTTTATTATTTTTGGCAATTGGCACCTGTTATTTGGGAGGGAAAAAATGTGAATTTTGTTTTTGATTTTTTTTAACAAAAATAATATATAGTTTTTATATTTTAAATCAAAAATATTTTTAAAAAAATTCCAACCAAATATACAATTAAAAGTTATTTTAAAGCAGTAATTGAATATTTATTTTGAAAAAAAAATATTTTGTTTGTAATATTTTCAATTAAAAGAAATATGTTATTTTTTAAAATAATTGTTTTTTTGAATTGAATTTTGAAAAGAGTTTGGCTATGAGTTTTAAACAGAATTTTTAATAAAGTTTTGAGTTGTGTGTTTGATTATGAATTATAACTTTTTGAATTAAGTTTTGAAAACTCTTTTCAAAACACATAACCAAACAAATTTTCTTATTTCACATGTCACATCAAACATTCAAAACTCAATTCAATACTTAACTCAAAACTCAATTTAAAACTCTTTTCAAAATTTATAACCAAACACATTTTCTACACTCAAATCATAATTTCAAAACTCACAAACTCAAAATACAACTCTATTCTTAAATCATATTTTTCCTCCAAAGTGAGGGGACACGTCGCCTTTTTCACGACGCCAAGTCCCTTTCAGTGTGTTTGGTTTTAATTTTTTAGATTCAAATTTTTGAAAATTAAATTTTTTAATTTTTTTTTTTGTTTTTAGTCAATATTTTTTAAATTTTAAATATTTTTTTTTTACTTTTTTAGATACACCTTACTTATCTAAAAAGTAAAATATTTGTGAAAAAATATTTTTAAAAATTAATAAATACACAAAAATACTAAAAATATACTGAATTCTCATTTTTTTTTGTATTTAATAAATTTTATAGAAAAAAAATTCACAAATATTATACTTTTTAAGTATATTTATGTTAACTGTATCTAAAAATTTAAAAAAAAATTACTTAAAATATTAAAAAAATCAATAAAAAAAATATATAAACAAACAAAAAAATTTAGTAATTTTTTGAAAAATAAATCTTCAAAAATTCAAACAACGGTTTGACTTTCCCTTTCCTTATCTCCCTCTTATACATCAAAAGGCTACTTTACACATTTTAAAAACATATTGGAGGTTGATTCATGCGAATTATATATATTTTAAAAATAAAAAATAAAAAATTAATATTATAATATATATGTTACTTAAATAATAAGAGTAATTTTTACCAGACCTTGTGCTTAGTTCAAGTCCCATCCGTTTTTCTATATAATCTTTTGTTTTAAATAAAGAAAAGAAATGACTCGTGATATAAAGAAAAGTAAAGATTTTAAGACACCAAATACAGTTTTACCAAATGTATATGTTATGCACTTTTATATAAAAAATATAATTTTTTATCATAAAATGTATAATTTTTGTTATACAAAATTTTAGGAGTGTATATCACAATTTCACTAATCATAACCTTCAATAATCATAACTTTGGTTATTGTTTAATTGTTTAATAAAATTTTGTAAACATGCTAAGTAAAAATTCAATATGATAAATAGTCGCATGATTGATCCTGGTCTGTTATGCTTGGGATCTGATATGTTGGTCCTGCTACTCATGCCAACTAATGCCTCAGTTTATAATGGATACTGATTGGGACCTGAACTGCTGCCCTAATGGATGAGACCTGACCTGAATGGTTGGACTATTGCTGTATGAAATGGGAGCTAATATGCTGAACTAATGCCCCAGTCTGCTAATATTTTGTTTTTTGTTTTTGTTCTGTCTCTCTTATTGGTTGCTTTGATTGGTTTTTCACCGATTTGGGTCAAGTGCTACCAAATGATTTTACTTTTTTTACGGTGCCAACTTAGTTGGAATTGTAGAGGGTAGCTATGATGCTTAGTGCACTTCCCTATTTCGTTGATGTATTTTTGCATGTATTTTGCTTTTCCATCAATAAAGTTTTTTTGCCGATCAAAAAAAAAATGTAGGGCTAAGTAAGGAATTCGTGAAATTCGTAATCTGATCCAGTCTAGTCTAATCCGGTAAGTTTTGATTGGTTTTTTGAATCTGTGGTTTGGTTTCGGATTGAAAAATTAAAAATCCGTAATCCACGAATTGGTTCCGGATTGAACCCCACAGTTCCGAATTAAAACCGATCCGAACTATATATAAATAGCCTATATTTATATTAAACAGCCTCTTACATAGTATCTTCTCTTATTTCATATAAAACCTAAACCCGTATAGTATCTTCTTTTATTACTTTTATTTGTTGATTTTTAGTTTTAATTTGTAATGGTCTAAATACTTATA